GAATTGTTTAGCTTACTAAACAGCTGGTAGTTAGTTTGCTATACAGTATTGGACAGTGGACACTGGTTTCTTTTTAGAGGATCATCAATGCAAAGCAAAATGAACATAATCCTTCATTTGGCAAGTAAGTAATCTCTCATAGCTCATGTTACTAATCCTAAACACAAATGTTCATTTACGAATGTCTGCCTGATGAGGGCTTTTGGGAACATGCAAAAAAATTAGCAAAATTCATATAAACCGATAGCCTTGTTGCACTTTGAGCGACTCGAATTGGAGTCCCCTATTGTGGTCTTTTCCCAATCCTGTCTATCTCTCTCCCTTCATGTCTGACCTGTCCGAATAAAACACATTAAAAAAAAGAAGAGAATGATGTTATAGTTATTGTACAAACCCAATTCCAAAAAAGTTGGGACACTGTACAAATTGTGAGTAAAAAAGGAATGGAATAATTTACAAATCTCATAAACTTATATTTTATTCACAAAAGAATATAAATAACATATCAAATGTTGAAAGTGAGACATTTTGAAATGTCATGCCAAATATTGGCTCATTAGAATGAAAATGTGAAATCCCAAGTTTACAGCAATATGCGCATTGCTTAGATCTGAACAACCATCAATCACCTAATTAACCCTCGCACTGAGTTCCTCAATGAGGTTAACAAACTTCCACATCATTGCATTCTGTTTTTATTCACAATTTGTACAGTGTCCCAACTTTTTTGGAATCGGGTTTGTAGAAATTAACTTTTGCATGGATTTAAAGTAAGGATCAGCTTTTTTGTTGTTGTTGTTCTCCACACACTTTCCAGTAGTTAATTTTACTGCACTGTATAAATATTGTATGGTACTGTATACAAATATTGTAAAAATACTATGGAAAAGAACTGTTAATAGACAGTAAGTTCCTGTACTATATACAGGGAAAAACTATAAAAACCAGTAATTTTACAGTAAAATACTGTTAAAATACTCAATGTATAATTTTTGTGTTTGCGTGAATTACTCTGTGCACTTTCTGTATATTAGTATATACTTCAGCTTGTGGAACAGCTACTTGTGATGAACTTTGATCTGGTTTCAGATTTATTCAGATTTTCTTGTTTGTAAATTACAGTTTTATACTGTAAAGTTTACAGTTTTTAAAGTTCTGTAAATGTGTTTACAGTTTTTAAAGTTCTGTTAATGTGTTTACAGTTTTTCTGTATTCTTTTATTTATGTTTTTACAAAATTATTTTGGCAACCACAGCTGCCAAAATGATTTTCTAAAAACTACGGATACATTTTTTTTTTACAGTATGTAGTAATTCTCTAATGATCAAGGACATACAGTGATGTAGAAGTGATTATACAGTAACAGATGGATTTATCTCTCTAGCGTTGTAGCTGATGATAATCATAAGTAATGCAGCGATCACCAAATCTCAAGGACACTGGTACTGCCCTCCTTCGGTGAACACACGCAACTGCACAAATTCGAACAGTTAAGTGGACTGTCATGGACAAAAAGTCTCCTGCAAGGCCTATTCCTGCGCCCCTCAGAGTCCCGGCTGCTCCTGCATGATCGGATCCTACAACTGCAGCAGCGACTGCAGCTACGAAGCTTCTTCAGAACTCTGTAGTTGAAATGCAGATACTTGCCGCTGCCTGAACTGTGTGTACTGTCCCCATCAGCTGCCCTTGTGTTTCATATACCATCTTTATTCACATGCATCCTCATGATTTATTCATTTCTTTCCTTCTAGATATGATGAAGACTCAAGACAGCATGCAAGGGGTATGTGGGAAAGAGTTTCTAAAAGATGGTTGTTACTCTATAAATGTAATACAATCATTATTAAAAACTAATGATTTTTCTTTCATCTCTTTAATTCATTTTATTTATTTATTTACTTTTTTTCTGTAGCTGCAGACAACTGCAGAAAACAGTGAATTTTGTTGACCAGATCGCAAATATGACAGGTCTGATGTCTAAGGAAGTAAGTCATGTTTCCAGCCCTTGGCCAATATGGGTCATTCTCATTCTCATTCTCCCAAAAAAAAAGTTTAATTTTTTTCTTTTCCCAGTGTGAATTCAGTGCATTTTTCTCTCATAAAAGTTGATGTTTTTTATGTTTTGTCTTTTATATTCTATTTAACAAATTAAGATTTTTTAAATACATTGTCTCAAAATACTTGAGTTATAACTTCAAATCATTTTTAAATGAAAATATTTGACACAAACAGTAACACTGATGACACAACTTATTTACATAAAAAACAAACAAACATGTAATCTACATTTTCAACATGTTGGAAAATCCCCATATGCACATTTAAACAGCCTCTTCTTACCCTTAATTTTGACCTTGTAAATACTTTTCTGCATTTTTTGTTATTTTTACCAAAAGACAAGTTTTTAATGTGTTTTTAAGATTAATGTTAGCAGTGATAAAAAAAACTGAGGGGCATTTTTCCTAAAGTCATTCCTCCTAAAAAAATTATATTATTGCTTATTTAGATTTTTCAGACCACAATTATTAGACCTTGCACTAATGGTTAATCCTGGTAATGGTAATAATAATAATAACAATAATAACCATCATCATTATCAATAAATAAGGGGGTTTTCAGGCACATTATATTTTCAAGTAATTAAAAAAAACAGTATAGAGTAAACTGTAAACTATTTCATATTTTATAAACGCTTATGTTACAAAAAAAATGCCCTTTACAAGGAGTTTCTTTACTATTTGAAATCTTCCATGATTATAAAGTCAAGGGGCAGGTTTGTTGTTGTATTTTGAGCGTGACCCATGTATTTGATGTTACTCTTTTTCTATAGAAATCATTTGTATTGTACAGAAGTATCTCTTTTGGTATTTGATTAGGTTGCAGAAAACTATTTGAAGATTGTTGATGACACCCAGGTAAATGTTTCAGATTTGGTCAGAGAAGAAGATAAAAGTAAACTGGTGTCATATGGAAACCGCAATGGATTGAGGAATACTAAAAAGTTGATGTCTAACTTGAATATATTTTGGTCAGCAGTAAAAATAATAACAATTGTGCTTGTGTCCAAATATACTGTATATGGACCTAACTGTATATTACATATAATGTATATTTTGTCTTAAAATATACAGTGAAAGACTAAGAAAAGCTGTGTTGGACTATAGCTCACGCAGCAAGGTTTCTCTGAATAACATCGCATGTACAGCCGGCTAATGAAAGCTTTACTAAAATTAATTTGTGTAGGAACGGTTCAACTTACTCACGGTTCGGTTTGTATCACGGTTTTAGAGTCACGGGTTCGGTATGTACTATGTTTAGGCAAAAACTATACTGTCAAATAAAAATAAAGAAAATAAGAATAATCTATCTAACTACAAGCAACAGCACAAATAAATACAACAGAGTATACAAATAAAATAAACAGTGATTTTCTAACATTAGTTTTTAGGTACAGAAATTGAATAAAGTAATACAATGTAAAACAGCATTGCATATTTGACTGTATATATTAAAGATGAATTTTTATTAAAATTACAAAAGCTATTCAATCAAGAGCAGTGAGTGATTTCTTTGTTGTTGCTGTTTGGTTAATATTAAGAAAGTGCTGTCACTTTAAGAGAATGCACTGATCCAGTGCCCTGATACAGATCAGCCGGCTATGTCTGCTATAGTGTACTTACCAAGACGGGCATTTTGACATCATTTTTGTGTGAATTTGTCCATTTAAACACAATACTTCAGAGAAAGCTTAATATTTGCGTGCGTTTTGAGGCGTGGGTTTGCACGCTTCAAATGAGCGCATGCACAAATCTTCTCTGGCTCTTAATTGTTTAAACTGGCAAAGCTTAAATGAGTTTAGTTTAAACACAGATATCAACGTGTGCTGTTCAGGTCTCACCTGAGTGAGACGGAAAAAATGCTCATATTCCAACATACGGCATTCACATTAAACAAGAGGGAATGGTTTGTCCACGTTTTTTTTTTCATCACTGTTGTTGTTATGTATTGGGAAGCCAGAATGCGCATCCATCAACAGAAACATACATTAGCCGAACCCTGTTTGTTTTACGTGGTATTTATAGCAAACCATATTACAGATGCGTTGTCAGATTTAAGTTGAACAGCGGTCCTAGCGCGTGCCGAACCGTGTGTGGAGAACCGTACGGTTTGATTTTTTTCTGCCGAACCGTTCCACCCCTAGTTGACAGTGTCATATGGGGTTGTGTTGAGTTTCTTTGATGAGAGTGATGAAAGGCTGTCAAACTCAGCTCCTGGAGGGCCGGAGCCCTGCAGAGTTTAGATCAAGGGTGCCCAATCCTGTTCCTGGCAATCGACTGTCCTGCAAAGCTCAGTTCCAACACTAATCAAACATACAAGTATCGAATCGGGACTCTGTATCGGCAGATACTCAATATTCAGTGGCTCGGATTGGAGGTACAAAAAAATCGGATTGGGGCATCCCTAGTTACAGCAACACAACTTTTTGTAGAAAGATTGCACTTTCTGTGTAATTTTCATGTTTTATATTTCATTGATGTGAAATGTTACTTTTGTGTTCACTTAGTAAAAACCAGTAAGTGGTCGCTATACTTAGATTTTGTTGACTAGTGTTGATTTTGCAGTAAGCAACTGGTATGTGCTTTGTTATCTCTCTCTTGATAATCTCTGTTCAGTTTTTGCAAAAAACTTGTTGGTTTTCCATTTACCTTAGAAGACCTGGCAAACAAACATGTCTGAGATTGATACCAGTTATCTAAAAAGATTTGAGAAAAACAAACAAACAAACAAACACTTTCTTTGATAAACTAAAATCCTAATTTTTATTTCACTAAAATCCTTCTAATATGTGACTTGCCTAAAAATTTGGAACATATACATATACAATTTACAGGAAAACTGTGGCAATGAGAATTTAAAAAATGTCCCATTTTTGTTTGTTTCTCTGAGAAGTGAGAGTTCTTGCATTTGGACCAAAGGCATCTGGAAAAAAAAATTCCTTCAGTCAGTACGGAAAAGGCTGATATGGAGATTAACCTTTTTGAAATTGCCAACAGTAGCCCTTCAGGTGTGTGAGAAGCATGAATGTGTCTTGAGTGCATATGAAAATAAACACAACATTTATTTTTTTGAGAACTTCAGTTTGCCGTTGTGAATGCCCAATGTTTTATTTTTGCCTGAATGACATTAGTTACTTTGTAAACTGATGTGATTTTCTTTCACTACCCTTTGTCTCATGTTGGTCTGTAACTCAGGATCAGCTGCTGTGGCTTTCATGAGCTACAACACGATGGAGAATCTACTGAAGCCAGACTTCTTCAACACATCAAACAACACGATTAAAACCATGATGTCCACTGTGATCTCAGATACTCTTCCCAAACCCACCAACACTAAACTCACCAAACCAGTCAACTTCACCCTAAAACACATCAGAGTGAGAGACTGAAATGTGTTTTTGTCAAACCTGAGAACTGATGAAAAGATCTGGAAACATCTGAACATGTTTAATGTTCTAATATTTCCTGCTTCTTAGTTCTTCTTCTTCCAGGAGTTTGATCCCAGTGGTTCTGTGTCCTGTGTGTACTGGAATATCAGCGAGTGGATTGTAGAAGGTTGTTCTGTTTTAAAGACCAACAGCAGCTACACTGTGTGTTCCTGTGATCATCTGTCCACATTCGCTCTCATCATGCAAACTAGCCATCCACCAGAGGTACAGAACATTTCCAGTGAACACAGAAAAGCACAGATTTGGCACTCATGACTCTGACATGTTTTCTCAGAGCAACCCACTGATGGAGCTGTTGAATTTGGTGTGTGTGATTGTGGGGCTGGTGTTCTTCAGTTTGGCCCTGTTGAGCTTTGCCCCTGGGTTTTTTCACTAATAGCAGTAAGGTGCTGGAGACCCTCTTCCTGATCTTGAACTCCCAGCAGGGAACCTTCATCTTCCTGATCTACTGTGTCCTCAATAACGAGGTCAGATCAGTTTTCATCCCTATTCTTTAAATAAACCACTAACCCCCCAGAGACAGTAGCAGTACAGTTGTGTCTTACCTGTTTATTACAAACAAACTCCATTCTGGTTCTTGAGTTTCAGAGGTTAAATTGATCTCATGAAGTCACTCAGCTCCTCTCGTCTCGTTCTTGTTCAGGTCAGGCAGCAGTACAGGAAGCTCTTCAGATGTCTTTGCTGTGCCAAACAACACTGAGGACATCAGCATCAAGTTCTGATGTCCTAACCCTAACCCTAACCCTAACCTAACCCTAACCCTAACCCTAACCCTAACCCTAACCCAACTGAAGTTTCAGCTCCTCTCTGTAAATGATACATTTTACAAACAAAATTTTCAGTGAAATGCTGGCAAAAAAAATAAAAACTCCTAAAAGCTATTTCATGTGTGCATAGTGAAGAGAAATAACATGACATACAGTTAGATATTGAGATATGTCAAATAATGAATAAATAATAAATACATTTTTTTTGTTTTGTTTGTTGAGCTCAGAAAGTTCCCAGAATGGAAATGACTGTTTCTTCTGTAAGGACCCATTTTATGTTACTTTTAATATTCATATGTCCAAATATATTATCAGGTCAGAGTGTAACAGGTTTTATAGTGGGTTTACCTTTAAAACTAAACTATTAAAATAACTAAATGAACAGCTGCTGTCTCAAATTCAAAGTGAATCTGTATTGTCAAATGGCTTGTATTTTTGCATTAAAACATGTGAATGATGATTGATTTTTGCTTTTGCTCAGGTTTTCATTATTTTAATGCATTTTTTTTGTTATGAAGTTATTCCTTAACAAACAATGCCATATAATAAGTGCATATGTGAATGTTTTTTCCACATTCCACAAAAGCCCAGAAAAGCTCTATATAATAGACTGACTCTAATTTGAGAGGATTGTTCTATTTTTTTTTAATGAATCCTGCCATCTTCTGCAACATATTTGTATTTAAAGTGTCACATTCAAAAATCTTAACTGTATATTCTTCTTGGTTTTCTCAGATATATCTGTTAAATAATCAGAGAATCTGATTACAAGGCCATTGATAAAGAGAGGTGTGATGTGGGTTCTCTCGGACTTGTTGAAGACAAGTCGTTCTACTGTGTTCTGATCATTTGTAGAGGCTTGATTGCACATGATGGCAGTCCAGCATAGAAATACCAAGAGCTTTGACAAGAAGTTGTGTGTGTGGTTGAGTGCTGGTAGAAGTGAAGGAGAAATGGCTCACAAGAGGCGTGAGGGGATGAAGTCTAGAGGGCAGGTTGTAGGATGACTGAAGTGTTTAGATACTTCTGCATCAGCGAGGGCAGAGAAAGTGGAGAGGAGTTTGTTAGCTGAGAGTGTGAGTTCCTCTGTGTGTGGAGCTCAGAACTGACGGCTAATGGTTTTAGTTTTTTCTGTGAAGAATTTAGCGAAATCATCAGCTGTTAAAGAGGTGATAGAGAGGGACAAAGGATGTTATGATTGAAAGAGTTTTCATATGTCTGAAGTGCTGTTGATCTTGTTGTGGAAATATTTGCCAGTATGGACTTTGACCAAAACTGATACATACTCGGGTCAGATGGATCTTATGATTTGCACCATTTTCTCTCTGGTGCCCCGAGTCTGGTCTGGTGTTCATGAAGAACATCGGATACCCAGAGGTTAGAGCAGGAATCTCCAACCCTGCTCCTGGAGAGCTGCATGCTATTCTGCAGACTTCAGGTCCAACCCTGCTCCAACACACCTGCCTGTAATTATCAAGTAGCCCTGAACACCTCGATTCGATAGTTCAGGTGCGTTTTAGTGGGGTTGGAGCTGAAATCTGCAGGACGGTAGCTCTTCAGAAGCAGGGTTGGAGACCCCCGAGTTAGAGGGAGTAGCACACGCCGGCCTGAAGGAGAGAGGACAGATATTGTTGAGAAGTTAAAGTAGGCCATAAAGCATAAAAAGAGGATGACACAACAGAGGAAAGATGGGAGAGTGAAAGCGAGTGCAGGTTTCAGCTGAATGCAACTGGCAGAGGGGTTGGTGGCACACAAGTAGTTGTAAATTAAGCATCAGTGTTGGGGGTAATGCATTATAAGTAAAGCGAGTTACGTAATCAGATTACTTTTTTCCCCAAGTAACTAGTAAAGTAATGCAGTGCTTTTTGATTTACGAGTTTTTCAAATAAGTAATAGCAGTTACTTTGTTTTCCCACTGACTGACAGCCCTCCTGTCCCCATGTTGAGAGAAATCGGGAGTGAGAAACGTTGTGTGTGCTGTGTAACATAACTAAATGTGAACATGCATTTACTCATCTCACTTGGCCAAAAACAGATTCAGTACTCCTCAAAATTAATAAAAACAGTGAAATGCAAACTTAATATGATGCAATAAATAAATGTCAAATAACAGAAATATCCTTTATGTATTAATCCCATTTTATTAACCACTATCTTTGCTGTTGACCTTTGATGGCCCAATTCACCCATGAAATAAAAATGACTTTAGATAAACATAACATTTGTGTTTCTTTTATTTTTATTATTGGTGAAGAGTGAACTTCTCCTGCATTCTATTCTTCATTCCATCCAGAATGGCAGCACAGCTGAAAGGTTTGTTAGAACTGCGCCCTCTACTGTACAGACACAAATTTACATTTCCTTTAGCCTGAGGCTTATTCATTTAACTTGTGGTGTGAAAGGGCCTCTACACTTACCAAAAATATAACTTTTTTATATTAAAAACAAATAAACAAGCCCAGCCAAGATTTAAAAAGTAACTCAAAAGTAATGTAACGCATTACTTTCTGTCAGGTCCCCATGCTGATCTGTCCAGTTTTTTTCTGTTTGTGTTGTGTTTGTGTTGATTGACAGCTTAGCACGTGTGTTGTTGCCATTGTGGCGTTCAATCCCGCTCTCTTGTTTTTCCATTTATTATTTTGTTACTGTTTCATTCCTATCTCCTGTTCAGTAGGCCTTATTAAGTTTTCCCTATAGTCTCATTGTTTGTGCTCCGTGCAATCCAACCAATTGTTTTGCCGTGTTGTGTTTGACTTCTAGTCAGTTTTGTTTTTATTCTTTAGTTTCTGCTTTCCTTACTCCCCTACTTCCTTACTCACTTTGTAAATGTCATTGAGTCTTATGCCAGAATTATGGTTGTTAAGCCATTTGAGATCGAATAAGGCTAGGAGAGAGTAGAATGTTGAAGTCGCCAAATGAGGACAGCTTCACATCCAGCTGCTCTATAAAGGTACCCAGTTGATCTTGAGGGCAATACATTACGACAATATGGAGTTTTACAGGAATTGTTACAGTCAGGGGCGGATTTAGTGAATTGGGGGCCCCAGGCAAAATGTAGGAATGGGGCCCTATACATTTGCTCACATTTACCTAGATCAACCTTGAGGTTCATTTTTTGTTGTGATGCTGCTGCTTAATGGTGCCCCATAGTTGTGTCCAATGTTTCTACATTTTTCATCTACATGTTATAATGGCTTTCTTTCATGTTTTAGACCACAAAATAGCAATTGATTAATAGTTGAGATACAGGTTTTCACAAAAACAAAATAAATTATAAAATGATAAACCTCACAATTGAGCCTTTAAACCATTTTTTTTAAGAAAAGGGATGAGTCAGAAGTTTTAATTATTATATTGATTAAAAACGGGTTTATGTGGGTGGATTTTCGAATTGGTCTGAACAAAAACTGCAGATGGGATTATTGAAAATGCACATTCATTCTCTGCCAGCAGGAGGCGCTTTTGGAGCGGCAGAAATATAGCGTTTTCTCCGGTAACGGCTGTAAGCAAAGCAGCACTGCGTTCATAAAAGCTGCTTTATCAGATCAAATGAAAATGCCAGCGAAACCTTTCTGAAGACAGTCGGTTCCCTACAGAGTTTCATTCATATAAAAAGTCAACTGATGAGTTACCAGCGGTAGCCTGTGTGCCTGGGCTCATACACTTTCCAAAGGCTGTCTAATTCTAAACTTTAAAATACATTTATTTGTAGTTATTTTAACTAAACATTTAAATGAATCTGAAAAAATAAAGAAAAGGAAATTATACACACACCCAAGGATTATATCAACCAAAAAAAGTAACTGTATGCCTCCTCTACTTGGGTCCTTCTCATAAATGAGTAAGCGGCATTTAAAACGATAAACATATAATACGCACTGTTGCTCAATATTTAATTACAGCCTCAGATGCATGATATTTTCATTTGCTACAAGCAGTATATACTAGAAGCACATTCAACTCACACACGCAGACATTTGTCGTGGTAATAAAAACCGTGAACAGCAACCGTTCACATGTCCGCGCATAATGCACATCTTGAATATGAAAAGCATTTTAGGGGGCCCTTGGCTTTTGGGGGCCCAAGGCGGTCGCCTACCTTTGCCTAATGGGTAAGTCCGCCTCTGGTTACAGTTAACAGCTTGAAATTCAAAACAATTATTACATAGAGAAGAGTGGACATGTGACAAAGAGTGTTGTTGAGAGTCAGCAGGAATTTACTGAAAACACATGTTGAATGGGAAAAAAGAGAGTGGAAACAAAGTTGGAACAGAAAAAGGAAAAAAAAGAAAGACACTTAAGTGCCTTGTTTGGTGGACTCGTGCAGGTAGACTCTGCCTGCAGCTGCCAATGTGGGTTAAGAAGGACAAAAACCTGATAGGAAATGACATATATGGCAAATATATCTGATAATACACTTCCAAGAAACTGGATATGTAAGTTTATTTTTACATTTGTATTTTAATTTGAATTTAAAAACAGTGGACATGTGATCAAATTTCCTTATCAGGGTGATAGACTGATAACTTCTCTGTAAACATCTGAACATAAAAATTTTTTTTTTTAGTTAAGCAGTCATTTGTGTCTGGTGAGGGATCACTGTATGTAAGTTTACATCAGGTAATATGTTTCTGCTCATAATGATCCTCATCAGTCTATTTAAAAACATGTATTGATGTTGTATCATGTGTAGTTACAGTTGATTTGTGAGTATTTTGCAGTTGGCTAATTTTGGATTTGACATTTTTAAGGATGCATCTTTATGAATTTGTAAGGATATAATCTTTATGAAATACTCTAGAGTGCTTATAGATCTATACCAGTTTTCATGTGTGACGTTTCTGGAAAAACAGTTTGTGGTTCTAAGAGAGAACATCCTCTGGGAGAACATTTCTTTAAGAATTTTTTTTTTTCATCCTTTATTGCGTTATGCTTTGACAAAAAAAATTGTAAATCTTGTAAGGAAATCCATACATTTTGTGGAATATTTTCATGTGTGAAACACAAATACATTTTATTTTTAATGTCATGCATCAGAGCCAAAGCTAATTTGTTTATTCTCTGTTAAGGAAGCTTGTCCTCTCAACTAGTTTGTGGATACAGAGAAAAACACAGACTGTCAAAACTGACAATGGCTTCCTTTCATGAAAGTGTTTTTATTGACTTTAAAGGTTGGTTCTTATTTTTCCAAAGCTTTTATGAAATGAACTGCGGCCATATGATGAATGTAGTGCTCATAAAATCAAAAGTATAATACAATTCAAAACATTTCCAGTTTATTTTAATGTCTTTTTTCTTCATATTTCAGCTTTTATAAAAGGACCGACTACCATCTCTGTTATTCTGTGTAAGTCTAAACAGTGTTTTTTGCTTTTGTGTCTGTAGATGGATGAGACCTCTAGAATTCCTGAATCAGTTGGTCGCATGTGTTCATATTGATAAAACTACAATGTGATTGAGTTATCTTTGGCTACTCACAACTGCTACCACAGCCACTCACAACATTGACCACTTCTTTCATTCAGATGCCTGAAATGTGGCATTAATGTGGTGGACAGCTGAATTGAAGTTTAATTGTTCACCCTCATGTCGCTCCAAACCTGTAAGACTGTACATGTATAATATTCTGATAATTTTTTGATCAAGTGAATGGAAGCTGAACCTATCATTAAGTATCCTAAATATAATCCTCTGAAATCATGATAGCTTTGTGAGAAGAAAAGGCTGAAATTTAAGTTGCTACAAAAATGGTGCATATAATGTTTGGTCATGTGACATGCGAGAACTAATGCTGTTGGCAGCGCTTACGAAGATGGACTGCTCTCATTGTGAGAGCTTGAGTCTTGCCTCGCTACTCTCCACTGATGACTCATTGGCAGTCTCTTATGCGGAGGATCAGGTCTTCGCCATCTACCTTTACCATTAGTCGACCAGAAAAGGCTTGGTCGACCAAATTTTTTTTAGTCGCTTAGTTGCAGAAAAAAAAAATCCACAGGCGAAGTCACGCAGTCTGTGACAGACAGATCGATAACGGCTGGTCTATGTGGTAGGCTAGTACATCAGGGACACCCAAACGCTCGCCTATCATTCATTGACCTCAAATATGGCTTATCATCTGAAATATGTAAGTATTAGAAATTTTACATGGCTGCTCAATCTAATGTTAGGCTAACCTAGAAAAATGTGCGCTACTGAAGTGTCTGTATGGAGTGTAGAAGCGTGCTCACTGCAGTACAGAGGGAGGTGCCGGTGCACTCACTTGCTCTTAAAATACTTATTTTTGGTCATACAGATAAGAGTAATACATCTTTCAAATCTGTAAAGTCTCTACGTTTATTTATGTTCACTCACAATGACAACAAAACACTGCACTTTTGTGAAATAATGAAAGCAAACAGGATGCGCTTTCTGCCGTCTCGGTCTCTGTGAACTTGAGGTCGAAACTCTGAAACTCTGTGTATATTTGCCTTAGAGATATGAAAACATGTTTATAGAGAGCAAAATGTCTACTTTTAAATCAAATGGAAAACAAATATTCTCAGATTATGTAATCTGTATGAAACATGCATACAGGCGTGCCCACTACTGCAGAGATGACGAGTCAGTGTCGCCGACTTCATCTCTTAAACTGAAAACAAAGAAAACACAGTTTATCAATACATTATTAAAATGTTAATGCAGCCTCCTTACTGTTTTTCCCTGACCCATTCATAATCAGTAGCTTCTGCAGTGCGCTGTGGCAACCTTTATGCGTGTGCTTGAGAGCTAAGGCTATGCAGGTAATTAAAGGTTTATTATAATGATTTAAATTGTTTATTAATAAATGTGCACGAATAGTCAACTAATGCTTCAAATGAACGACTACTAGTCAATCGGAAAAATCCTTAGTCGAGGGCAGCCCTACTTGAGAGTTTCATTATGTGGAAAAGATGAGTAATATGAATATAATAGGGTAATAGGAAATTCTAGAATAGACAGGAAATTCATACTCATTTGGAATGACATGAGGGTGAGAAAATTATGACAGAATTTAAATTTTTGGGTGAACTGTCACCAAGTAATCCTGTCAAAGCAGTTTTTATTTCTTTGTTTATTTGGCCATTTGACTGCTATTTCATTGTACTTTTTGTAATATGTTGATTAATTTGTATTTATAATTATTTTTCAGATGTCTTAACAGCAGCAGTCACACCAGCGACGGCTACATTTGGTAATGCACTCTGCTGCTGGGTGGCATTTCGTCTGGATAAGCATGTCTGTAATTTTGAAATGAACTGAATTGGGCTGCGTTTCCCAAAACCATTGTAAGCTTAAGTACATCGTCGACCCATTGAAACCAATGGAGCTATGATCAACTTAGGCTTACGATGCTTTTGGGAAACGCAGCCCAGAGCTGCAACGATTCACTTGTTTTCTCAATGCATCGATTTATGTGATGCGCTATTTATCACCGTTCATGGGATCGCACCGTTCTCTGTTTCATCCATAACTTTCTGAACAAACACTGACCATCACTTGAGCAATTGACAGCTCTCTCACAATAGCGCTAGTTTAGCATCAGACCCCATCAAATGACTGACAGAGCATGGGGTCTATTGAATGGTTGGGTGTAACTGAATTAAGCTACTTTAATGTTTTTATATTAGTTTATCGACCCAGGTTTCCCGCTGAAAACCTGGAAATATATAATTGCAAATTAAATTGAATTCCCCTGAATTAGCAAAGATTGTTCTTGAATTGAACCCAAAACCATATGAATCATGACTCAAGTTCATTTGCTCTCTGCCCAAAGATTCAAACACCTAGAAATGACAGATCCAGTACACCCTACCTTTATGACGTTGAGTTTTACAGCTCATGTCTTCAGAGAACATCAAAATTGAGTTGGGCCCATTTTAGAAAATAAATACTGCAAAATCAGAATGTCTAACAAAACACCACACATTTGTTTCTGGTGATTCTATATATTGTCTACTTTTCTGAAGGATACTGTATGAGAATGCTGCTAGTAATTTCATTTGTTCATTTCAAGTTCATTTGTGCTGTGTAACTCAAGGTTGACAGTTCTGCTTCCCATTGTGGTGTAACATTTTGCTAATACTAAAAAGAAAAGAGAGATGTAAATGTCTTCAGCTAAACTTGTGGATCAATTTAATAACAGAAGCATGTTAATTTTGTAAACTACATTTTCTTAACAGCTTATCTCTCTGTAGATCCCTGCTACAACTACACTGTGCTGGACAATCCATGGAGAGCCATCAGTAATACACATGCTTCAGTCCTGAACTGTGACAAATATGTCACCTGGAGTGGCTGGTATCGTCTCTTCATTAACAGTCTGAGCGCTTATATCCCACAGATGTGTGTTGCAAGGTATAGCTGTGGAACAGATATTGCGCTGTGGATTCATGGTGGACACCCAACAGTACAGGATGGAGTCGTCACTCGAGATGTCTGCGGTAACTTGTACAGTTACTGCTGCTATTACGGGTCTTACCCCATTAAAGTTAAAGCCTGTCCAGGCAATTATTATGTCTATGAGCTGGTTAGACCAACAGAATGCAGTTTTGCATACTGTGCAGGTAATTACATTTACATGAACTCTTTTTACACCATTTCTGTCTCTGTTCGTAATTAACTATTCATCCAAACTTTCAGATGTTGGCAGCGTTAACACCAGCTCTACAGCCGTCACACCAGCGACCATCTCAACTGGTAATGTAACACATTGTGTCTCTATTGGCTTATTTTCTGACCTAATGAAGATCTGTATCATTGAATAGATGTGTGTTTGTGTCTGAAGAATAAAATAATTACTGCACCACTATAATATACCAGTAAAAAAAAACAGTATAAACCATCACGAGAAATCGCATTAGCTATGGGGCTGTGTTGTTGGTCTGGAAACTACAGTTAATGTGACATGTATACGACAAGAATATGCTTTGAAAGACTGTTTAATGTTGCATAGAGAGAGCATGAATGCCTTTAAATATGAATTTATGAAGATAAAAGACAGTGTATGCCATGTCCACTAAAGTTGCAAATGTCATAGCTGTTATGATTAGCTAGATAAAAAAGAAAGAAAGAAAAAAAGCATTTCTTTTCAAAAAGGTATGCTCAAACCTGCCCAAAATATCTTTACACAAATTCAAGGTGATACAGTGCCTTCCGAAAGTAGGAAAGCCATCATTTGTTTTCATGTTTTGTTATGTTGCAGCCTTATGTTAAACTGCTTTAACTTACTTTTTCCACATCAATCTACAGTATATATACTGTATATATATATATATATATGTGTGTGTGTGTGTGTGTGTGTGTGGGACAATTTGCATATACAAGAAATTTGTGACCATGTTTTACAATTTTTTTAAATATTAATATTGAGACTATGAATTAATATTTGGGTTTTCATAACAGCTAATCTGTCTGACCCCTGCCTCAACTATACTGTGTTGGACGAAGCAAGGAGAGCCATCAATAATACATATGCTTCAGTCAAAATGTATGATTGCTCCGTCAACTGGACCGGCTGGTATCGTCTCTTCCTTGACGGTCTGAGCGCTCAGATTCCAGACACGTGTGTTGCTCAGTATAGCTGTGGTACTGATATCGCACTGTGGATTCGTGGTGGACACCCAACAGTACAGGATGGAGTCGTCACTCGAGATGTCTGCGGTTACGCTGGCAGTTACTGCTGCTATTACGGGTCTTACCCCATTAAAGTCAAAGCCTGTCCTGGAAATTATTATGTCTATGAGCTGGTTAGACCTACTAAATGCAGTGCAGCCTACTGTGCAGGTAATTATATTTACATGAGCTCTTTCTACACATTCATGATATTTGTGTCTTCATATCTGTGCCTGTATGTAAAGATGAAGAACAGAGCTGATTTCACATACTCTGATTGGTTAACAGCATTTTCTGCAGTTTACGAAGTATGAAATTATTCACACAGACATTGTTTCCATGCATTGATCAGTAGAATACATCTGCATTAAAATGTTTAAACTACATTAATTTTATTAGGGTTTTATGTCATAAGAAAATACTTTTTATTTTAATTCTCCTTCTATAGCATTTTAACTGACATATATATATATATATATGTGTGTGTGTGAAGTGCCATTTTCAAAATAAGAATTAGTGTTGGAATGAATGTTTGTACCACTGAAGACATTTATTTTATCCAATTAGACTAGATAGCATTTATCAATTTTAGTGAAAGAACTCCGATATCTTCATATTATTTAGATTTATTTATCAAACTAGTTTGCTTTATGGGGTTCATGCATGAAATACCGGAACTGGCTTTTTAATTTTCTCAGAATTACTTGGTTCCCAAGCAGTACATTTACCTTACTGTGTAGTTACAAATGTCTTCATCTTCAGAAAAGAGTAAATTAAGTTAAACTAAGTAAAGGCCTGATTATCATGTGTAAGGTCAGGCACAGTGGCCGTTATTTCACATACTGTGCTGGTAAATATATTTACATGTGTTTGTTGATTTATTGATATTTATCAGTATTTTTTTCAGCTGTTACTAACATCAGCAGCACCAGTTCAACAGTCACACCAGAGACGAGCCCAGCTGGTAATGTAGTCTGATGTTTGGTCAGTCATGTATTGTGCTGTGATGTTTTGGTTGTAAATGAACAGATCTGCAGATTGAGCTTTGAAGATTCTCTGGTGAACTTCTGTTCACAAGTGTTCACAAGTGTTAACAAGAATATGCACACAAATATTACGGGAAAAAGACGATCAGTTAATGGACTTACAAGACTGTAGCATGGATACAAATGTTTTCTTGTAGGCCTATTTTATATTATGCACTTTATGTAACATTTATTCATGATAAACTTCATTTGAATGCTGACTATCGCACATAATACAGTCCAGTAGCCAAGGCCTATGGTTAATATAATAATTTAATAATGTAATAATTTATATAATAAATAATATAATAATTTCTTAATTCAAAATAAAATATGAATGAATCCATCTCTGGTAATCCCGGGTTGCTATGGTCACGCAGGTTTGTTTAGGCATTAATCTTGTGGCCACGAGAAAAATATGTAGTTCCCTCAACATAGCATCTCGAGGCCAAGACATATGGATGTCGTTACCTCGACAAAATGATCTCGTGGTCACGACATAATATCACGTTCCCACAAGTTATTATGTCATGGCCACGACAAAACTAAGTGAACTGACCATGTCTCCTCGCGGGCACCATAGTATTCTCTATCTTTATAAACATAATCGTTTATTTTATGTAAAGCATCAGACTTTTCCATCACACGAAAAGACCGATGCGAGGGACGGTGATTCACACCGCGCACCTGTATGTTGCTCTGCATAAAATTGAACGATAGGCTATACAGCACAGTAACGATTTAATATATAAAATAAAATGTACACACACCTGTATTTTACAGAAGAAATGCTTCAATTCGATGGCGCTTAGAACTGCTCTCTCCAGAAGACGACGCAAAATCCCCGCAATAAATAACTCAACCGCTGGGTTACGTCTGACCCAGGATCTGAGTAACACAAAAACAACCCAAACATTGGGTTGTTATGTCTGACACAGAAGCTGAGTAGCACAAAAACTACCCAAACATTGGGTTGTTATGTCTGACACAGAAGCTGAGTAGCACAAAAACTACCCAAACATTGGGTTGTTATGTCTGACACAGAAGCTGAGTAGCACAAAAACTACCCAAACATTGGGTTGTTATGTCTGACACAGAAGCTGAGTAGCACAAAAACTACCCAAACATTGGGTTGTTATGTCTGACACAGAAGCTGAGTAGCACAAAAACTACCCAAACATTGGGTTGTTATGTCTGACACAGAGCTGGGTAACACAAAAACTACCCAAACACTGAAAAAAATAACCTTAAAACAATTACCCAAAAGTCTCAACCCAGCATTTGGGTTAAAAAAAAAAAGAACCCAGGATTTTTTAGAGTGTAATATGCTTAATATTCACTCCTGCATGCCATGCAAACTGCTAACAAGACACTTAGTTTAAACTTGTTTGTGGTTATTATACTTATGGAGTAACATCATAATAGCCAAAATCACTAACTTCCACTCTGGACTAAATACAAAATTGGACACAAGGACTTTATAAGAATTATTTTCCAAAGTTTTGTCTAGCACTGTTGAATTTTTGTTCACAGCTGTATTTTATTATTGTCTTCATGCTGATTTCTCTCCTTGCAGGCATAAATATAACGCTGCAGGAAGGATGCACTGTAAGTTGAGTTTTTGAAGATTTAGAGTTGGACCATAACAGTAACAATGCATTTTCGTTCTCTCCGTTAATACTGAAAAAACATGATCAAAATAAACAAATACTGCCTTCATGATTGTGATTTCAGGCTCAGACATGTTTCCAACATTTTCTTGAGCAGATAGAGAACATTACAGTACTCCCTTTGAATGTAAGTCTTCAAGAGAAATATCATAAATTAATCAAATCTTTGTCAGTTACATAATGAATTACATAGCAGTGCTGTCTTATTGCCTCTGTTGACATTTACATGTAGTGTAACTTTTTTTATCTGATCAATAAATTAGACTGTCACCAGTATTTTGACTATGGCCTTCAGTGCTTCAGAGAAGATTCTAGAGTCGTCATTATCATCAAACCCAACTGAACTAGCCTCCTTTGGAAACAGTGTGTTAAAAGCCAGTGAGAAACTCATGTCTACATTAGTGAAGCCAACAGACACAAGTGCCAGTGTCAGTTTTACTCTTGCTGCTGTAGGTAAGTGAAGACATAATTATTACTGATGATGACACTGAGATTATATATGTGACCCTGGACCACAAAACCAGTCATAAGGGTCAATATTTCGACTAATGTATAACTGAGATTTATACATTATCTGAAAGCAGAATAAATAAGCTGTCCATTGATGTATGGTTTGTTAGGAGAGGACAATATTTGGCCGAGATACAACTATTTGAAAATCTGAAATCTGAGGGTGCAAAAAAAAAATCTAAATATTGAGAAAATCATCTTTAAAGTTGTTCAAATGAAGTCCTTAGCAATGCATATTACTAATCAAAAATTAAGTTTTGATATATTTACAGTAGGAAATTTACAAAATATCTTCCTGGAACATGATCTTTACTTAATACCCTTGGCAAAAAAGAAAAATCAATCATTTTGGCCCATACAATGTATTTTTGGCTATTGCTACAAATATACCCCAGCCACTTAAGACTGGTTTTGTGGTCCAGGGTCACATATGATATCTAGTGATCAGCATGGGTCACAGGTGGCAGACAATGACAAATGCAGCTACATTATATGTTAATTGTGTAATCATTAGTTCTTAAAAGAGGACCCCTAGAGGACGCAGTTCGAAGTTCCACGAAAGGGAACTGTCTTTTGTTGTTGATGTCAAAAGTCATTATTTTGGTGCAAATTCCTTCATCATTTGGTAAAGGCTCGTCAAATAGGACAAACGCCATCATGGGCAGATTGTGTACAGAAAAACCATGAAAAATGTTTGATTTTAGGGACATTTGGAAGAAAACCCAGTTGAGAACTGAATCACTTGAGTACACAATTTACTGTAAGATCTGACCTTTATCCTCGAGAAACCTGAAGAGTTTAAAATACTACATCTAGAAATCATGAATCGTCATTTTATTTGTTTGGCTTTTGTGCCAATTCAATTGTTTCTTTCATTAAAAGCTAAATATTAATATACATTATATAGTACATAACTGCTTGTTTTTGTCAGAGGGTCAAGTCTTCATGGTTGGACCAAATGTCACCTTAAATAAAATCCCTCGACTTGACACGACAAATTCTTCTGTGGACATTGATCTCATTGGGATATCCAAGAACAACAATGAAAGTATGTTAAATGTTTCTGTGTGAAACAACAAATCATAAAAAATGCCATTACCATTATTGTTAAATCACATTTATTTACTTTTTTGATTGTTGTTATTTAAACATGTTGTTACATTTCTATTTCTGTCACACAGGATCAGCTGCAGTGGCTTTCATGAGCTACAACTCGATGGAGAATCTACTGAAGCCAGACTTCTTCAACACATCAAACAACACGATTAAAACCATGATGTCCACTGTGATCTCAGCTACTCTTCCCAAAACCACCAACACTAAACTCACTAAACCAGTCAACTTCACCCTAAAACACATCAGAGTGAGAAACTGAAATGTGTTTTTGCCGTGATCTCAGGCCTTCTGCACTTCCTCTTTCTCTCTGGCTTTGTGTGGATGCTCATTGAAGCTGTGCTGCTCTTCATCTGTGTGAAGAATCTATCACAGATCAGCTCCAAAAAGAGGGAGGTGCTTAGCAGTGGATTCCTGTGTGTGATTGGATATCTGGTTGCTCTGGTTTTGGTGGCCGTGTCTGTCGGTCTGGTTCCTGACGGCTACGGCAGCAAATAGTGAGTTTTTTTGTTTGGTTGGTTTTTAATTTGATAAAATATACACTCTTGACAGAGACTGTATCAACATCATGCACAAGATTCAAATCTGTAATATTTCACTAGTCAATACCTGAAATAGTATTTCTGACAAAATCATTCAGTTATTATATTCTTCCCCCCCTATAAACAGCTGCTGGATTAAAATGGATAAAGGCTTCATCTGGAGTTTTTTGGGTCCTGTTTGTGTCATACTAGCGGTAAACATGTTTCTTTTTTTCTTATGACTTTTGATTAAAAAGAAATCACAGTGATTAATTACTCTTCTACCTTTCAGTTAAACACGGTTCTCTTCATCAAGATCGTCACCAATGTGAACTCGGCTCTCAAAAATCTCAATGTTGAAGTTTCACAGATGAAACAAAACAAGTAATATGAATTAATTTCTCTATAGAAAACAACATATAGTCAATAAAGACACATATAATATTGTTCTTTCTCTGTTTCTCTGCAGGATTATGGTGTTTAAAACATTGGCTCAGTTTGTGGTTCTTGGTTGCTCCTGGATTCTGGGTTTCTTCACTAATAGCAGTAAGGTGCTGGAGATCCTCTTCCTGATCTTGAACTCCCAGCAGGGAACCTTCATCTTCCTGATCTACTGTGTCCTCAATAATGAGGTCAGACTTTTTCCATCCCTATTCTATAAATAAACCAATAAACCCCCAGAGACAGTGGCAGCACAGTTTCTTACCTGTTTTTCTTTATTCATTTTCTTTTCTTTCGTTCTTTCTTTCTTTCTTTTTTTTTCATAAGCAAACTCCATTCTGGTTCATGAGTTTCAGAGGTTAAATTGATCTCATGAAGTCACTCAGCTCCTCTCGTCTCGTTCTTGTTCAGGTCAGGCAGCAGTACAGGAAGCTCTTCAGATGTCTTTGCTGTGCCAAACAACACTGAGGACCACAGCATCATGTTCAGGAAGGAATAAATATTTTTCAAATAAATGTTGGCCCAAAACAAAAAAAACTCTTTCATGTGTGCATGGTAATTTATTTAAACTGTATGCAATCATAGTTGTTTAGTTGTTAAGTTATCAAGAGAACAGGCCTTGGGCCACCATGGCAACAAAGACAAATCATCAAGATAAGACAACCCAAGGAATTTAGAGAGAGTGTACTTCTCACTTCATTCACTAGTGAAACAGATAAAAAATACTTCTCTCCATTAATTCATAGAACGGTTTGTCTATTAATTAACATACATATCCCCAGGACACTGTGTGTATTATTACTGTTTTGTATATTGTTTTGTTTTGTATACTATGTATGTCTTATGACATTATTAGATAATGTAACCTTATTGTTACCTGTTACGTCTGTAAAGAGGACTCGTACTTTAACTTATTTAACTTTTTATTGTTCTCGTCAACTTTACTGAACTGCATAAACTGAACACTCACATCACTGAACTGCGTGAAAACATTAGCGTCAACTTCATTGCTCATTCCAGAGTCTTAAAGTGACCAGCCTCTTTATATCTTATTAATGAGTCCCTCCAGGATTTTGCGATTCTGCGATTGCTGAATTTATCGCAAACTCTGCAATTTTCGCAAGAGCTCGCAAATTTTCGTAATTGCCACATATTTCCCGCAGATTTTGGGCTTAGACACGTCCCGTGACGTCATCGCAACGCGCATTCAGTCAAAGAAAGGTTGTTTCTCAGTTCCAAAAATGGAATGAACAGCCTTGCGTTCTCATCATGACCGATGAGAACGCAAGAGCTACATTGGACAAACGAACCAAAAGCGGAATGAACCCGCGCTACTCGTTTGGGCTATGCAGCGCAGACCGTTTATCTGCTCTGGCTGAAGTTGCGGGCTGATCTCGATCACGTGACACCATTATACATAGCGCTGGGAGATACAGTAAAGAAAGTAGTCGAATTCGCAGCAGAATCAATAACATCTCTGTAAAATCTTGTGAGAAACATTCAAATTCGGCGCAGAATTCTGTTAAAGCTACAGATATCAGAACAAACGCCACTTATGTGGAAACCAGGAAAAACATTGTTCAACAAACACAAATCGCCACTATTCACCATGGATTTAACATAGTAAAACTACAGCAACAACGTGTGGCAGAAATGGTCTAATGTTTTCGAGTGTTTTTAAATGTTTCACACAACTTTTCCCAGCACTTCAAAGCTTTAAGTATTACCGAATTTGAAAGTTATTTTTGATGTGATGTAGACTTGTGCCTGTATTCGGTAATGCAATATATCATGGTAATGAATATGCACAATATTGTTATCGTGGGCACTTCTAAATACCGTGAACAATTATATATTACAAATTATTCCGAATTTTGAATGCATTATAAGAATACTTTTCCCATCAACTGGTCACAATGCACAACAACGCTGTATGCTGCGTGAAAGACGCCTGCACACTCTGATGTAAACAAGCCAGGACAGAAGCACATAGCGGAACATGTGAGAGATGCTCTGGATGAAAGCGCACTTTCACTCTCTGACAACAGATGGCGCTAAAATGCAGAAATAATAATAATAATAATAATAATAATAATAATAATAATAATAATTCATTTAAATGCAGCCTTTACCCCGGAAACCCTGTAAACAAAGCAGCTGCACTACTTTCTGTTTCTGAATCGTGTTTAAATGATTTAAACAGCCATTCAGATTTGTGTATTTGCCATGATGTTCATCACAGCACCAAATACTTAAATATATAGACTTAATAGGCTATTTATTTTCAATCTGTTTTTTACATTTTAATCTGGACTACAACATGCCCTAGATATTGTTTGAAAGTGTTTTTATTATTTATTGTTCGGTCACACTTTACATTAGGGCTTCATTAGTTAATTCATTAGTTAACATAAACTGCCAATGAAAAATTCTTCTGAACACTCATTAATCTTAGGTATTCCAATATTTAATAACACGTTGTTAAAATCGAAAGTTGCAACTGTGTTATTTAATGAGCTAACATGAACTAAGACTTGTATTTTTTAACTAAGATTAATAACTTCTGTAGCAAATGTAGCTATTGCTCGTTGTGAATGTTAATGCATTAACTAAGGTTAACTAATGAGGTCTTATTGTAAAGGGTTCTTTTGCACTTTAATCTGTGTAAAACTTTTAACTTTATACATTTTTCTGTATTGCTTTATTTCATTTAAATGTTCAGTTATTTTTGTTATAAGAAAAAAGTTATTAAACCTGTTATACTGTATTATGACAGCACTTTTTTAAAACAAAATTTCAATATAGTTATAATACCGTTTACCGTAATAAAAGCATTAGCAATTAATCGCAACATGAAAATTTGATACCGGCATATTCCTAATGTGATGACATTATTTGTTCATCCTTCAACGGTTGCCCTCATTTATAAAACTAAAGTTTCATTATGTATGAAAGCAAACACTTATTTAAAAATAAAAAAGACATTAAATTACCACTAGTAGATGGCTGCAGAGAAGTTTCCACCACATATAGACTTAATAGGCTATATATATATATATATATATATACAAAAAAAAATATATATATATATTTTGTATTTATTAAATTATACTTAGACATTATGAATCAATCTGCATCTCAACTACCCAGACAGCACAAGTACATCTGTAAGACGTCTGCTAAAGATCTGGGAAACATCTACTGTGTAATCTGATAAACATCTCAGAAGCAGTTTTACATGCATTCTAACAAATGTCTATTTGATATCTGACAGGAAACGTCTTAGAGACGTATTGCAGATGAGCAAACACTCTAAAAAAATACATCTTGCATATGTAAATGGAGACATCAAATAGACATCTCCGAGATGTACATGTGCAATTAGGGTGAGTGCTTTACTCTCAGGAGCTGGTGCCACCTTCTGTAGAACTTAATGACACTGGTGCTGGTGTCCTCAAATGTTACAATGATACAATGCTACAATGTTACAAATGTTACAATGATACAATGATCTTCATGCCCTCTGCCCCTACAATGATCCTCGAAGTCAGAAAAGTCATAACAATGTTAGAAGAATGTTGTCTGTGGTATATTTTCACTGCAAAACTATAAGAAATCCCGCAAATATCACCACAAATTTTGAGAAAAGCCGCAGCAAAATCAGTCATTTTAGGCAGCAAAAATCAGAAAAAAGTCCCGTGAAATCCTGGAGGAACTGATTAATGTAACAAACACATTACTTTAATTAAACACCATATTATAAGTCTACCTAAATATGCAACATTTCCCCTCCCCTCCCGGGGAACTAACTGTGAAAGGACGTTAAGTAGTCCTGAAAGCAAGCAGGCAGAGTATGCGATCTGGTAGGCCTGCCTTGCGATGCTGCAAATGGTGGTAGGGATGTTGCTTGCGGAGTCACTGGATGCTGTGCTGGGGGCAGAGGGCATGAAGAACTGAGCAGAGAGCAAGGGAGCACAGCGTCTGGGGTGTGATCTGCACCAGAAGGGCACAGTACTTTCCTAAGTCGACTGGCATGCCAACGGGAACCATCCGATAGCTGGAATGTAACTGGACTTAACTGCTTTCGCACCTGCTGGAGCTGCGACCAGAAAGTGTTGAGCTTATTTTTCCGGTGTGGTCGCTGAACCCGCACCCAGTCCAGTGGGGAGATTCTGGGAATCTGGACCTTTTTCTTTGCATCGAATCTGCCCAGTGCTTTGAGCTGTTGTTCACATACCCTGGCTTTCACCACAGGGTTTCCACCATGAGAACTAGGAGGGCAAAGTCTATGCAGGGGTAACTCCAGCTCTCGCCCTAGCATTAGTTTTGCCGGTGACACCCCAGTGGTAGCATGCTGAGCTGCTCTGCAGTGTAGAAGAGTCTGAGACAAGGCCTCATTGAAAGAGCAGCCTTGTGCTAAGTGGGCTCTCAGGCCATTTTTTAGCGACTGATTGAATCTCTCTATGCCCCCATTTGACTGTGGGTGATAGTAAGCTGTTCATATGTGTTTGATGCCTTTGCTATGAATGTAGCTGCTAAACTCAGCAGACACTAGTTGAGGGCCATTGTCTGTCGTCAAGGTCCTTGGCAGGCGCCAGCGAACAAAGAGCAACTCCAGAAAGTCAATGATGGAGCTGGATGTGACAGGGCCCACAGATGTAACCTCTAGCCACTTCGAATGTAGATAATAAACTACTACAAGGAAACGCAAATGATGGGGCACATCATGGAGTTCACCGCAGATGTCCAGCTGAATGTGGTCCCAGGGTCAAGTTGGCCAAGGCAAAGACCCTAGTGGCGGTGGAACTGGTGGGCCTGTTTTCCCGCTTACAAGACATGGAGCACAGTCCCAAACAAGCTGTTCGATGTCTTTGTCCAACCCTGGCCACCATACAAGATCCCTACAGCGCTGCTTTAGTTTGACTATGCCAAGATGGCCCTCATGCACCATGGTCAGCACTCGTCCTCTGAGTTTAGCAGGGATAATTGCACAGCCTTTAAGCGCTGTTCGTGAATCACTGCATTCGGGGCATGGACAATGGTGTCATCAAGGTAGATGGCAGTGCCAGGGACACCAGCCAGTATGGTGGACATGATTTTTTGGAAACAACTTGGAGCTGAGCTGAGTCCAAAAGGCATCCTTGTGTAATGAAATATGCCAATGTGCGTAACGAATGCAGTAAGATTTCTGCTGTCTGGGTGGAGGGGAACCTGGAGATAGCCTTGACGGAGGTCAAGTATGGAAAAAGTTGTTGAGCCATGAAAGTGTGTAGTCAGCTCTTCGATTGATGGCACAGGGTAGCGATCTGGGATTACTGCTTTGTTGACGGACCTTATGTCCACACAAACTCTGTCCGCCAGATTTTTTCTTAGCCACTGTCAAATTAGACACCCATGGGGAGGTGTCAACAGGTTCAATAATGCCCTCTGCTTGCAGTTTTACAAGTTCTGCTGTGACTTCCTCACGCAATGCCAGCGGAATGCGGCGAAGTGGCTGAATGACTGGTTTAACTGTGGGATCCAAGAGAGGCTGGTGAGTGAATGCAGCTAAGCACCCAAGGCTTTCAAACAGCATTGGCCATTCTTGTTGCCAGGGACAGCTGACAGTCAGAATTTGAGCCCCCTTATTGTCCAGCAGAGAAAAAGTCCAAACTCATAAACAGGTCCAATCCAAGGATATTGCTACCATGGCGTGTAATGTGAAATGGAAAGTTGGGTAGGGCCTTTTTGCCATGCTGGACAGGCGCATATATAAAACCGATAACATCAATTACAGAATTTCCATATCCAAACGGATTCAGAGAAGGTGGCTGAAGGGGCAAGTGTGGCAGGAAACATAAGTTCATAAGTGGTCAAATTGAGTAGTGAGACTTTGGCCCCTGTGTCCAGGAGCAAAGGAATACAAGAATCCGCTATATTAACAGCGCATGTAGAAAAACCTGCTGAATTGGTGTTTATTGAATTAATAATGGCAGGGGTTGTAGCGTTAGCATGTGGGTTTCGTTGTGTAGGAGCTTGAACTGGAGCAGACCGACATCATTTTGCAAAGTGGTTCAGCTTTTGACAGCGTTGACATGTTTGTTCCCGTGCAGGGCAGTCAGGGGCACGTTCCACAGTCTAGTGGAACCACAATTTCCACATCGCCACTGAACTTGAGGGCATGCATATTGTATGTCTGCACTTGAAGATACATCTGCCTCTGCCCTGTGAACTTGTGTGCATTCTTGTATCAAGTCCCCACTGCTTACACTTGATTCATGTGCAGTATTTAATTTAGCAGCGCACTGTGCAGCAGACTGAATTTGAGAGGCCAGAACTACAGCTTTCTCTAAAATGAGATCGTCATTTTCCGCTTCGTCGGGACGCCATCGAGGCCCATTGCTAACAGGTAAGTTTCAAACGTCATTTTCCACTGCTCCCATGCAACGGTAGGCTCGCCAGGATGGGGAAAAAAGGGGTTCGGGGGAGATTACGACAGCGTGGGGAATTCTTCAGCCATTCTGTAAAGAGGACTCGTACTTGAACTTATTTAACTTTTTATTGTTCTCGTCAACTTTACTGAACTGCATAAACTGAACACTCACATCACTGAACTGCGTGAAAACATTAGTGTCAACGTCATTGCTCATTCCAAACTCTTAAAGTGACCAGCGCTCTTTATATCTTATTAATGTAACAAACACATTACTTTAATTAAACACCAGATTATAAGTCTACCTAAACATGCAACATTACCATCTTACATGTCCCTACACAGTGGTGTTTATCACTTCCTCATAACACATGCTTGCTATATTGAAGCATATGCTATATTCTTGCTTGAAATTAAACCTTTGGCATTAGTCAAGCCAAACCTGGTCATGCCTCATGTTTAACAGTCCTGTATTTGATGCAGGAGTGAATTACTAAGCATTTAAGCAGTAGTGATTATGGACTTGTATTTATACAGCAGCAGCAGCAGCAAGGGGTCTGTGTACAGTGGCTGCTGTGAGGATACAGCAACTAAGCATTGCAGATATGAGAACGCATTAAATTGAAATACATTTACCTAGAGAAATGCATTGACTCTGCATTTAAACCCTAATCAAATCCGGATGCTTCCCCAGATAGCAACATAGTGTCAACCTGGTTCCGGCCCACATCTGGCACATGTAGCTTGATGATCTGGCCCACATGTAGCTTGGAATGCTGGCACTTGTGTGCACTGCTCCTGTTTGCCAGATCTGGGCCAAAAGCAGGCCATAGCAATGCCACATGTCAGCCAAGAGCAAAGAACTAAACCACATTGGACATATTCAGAGTCACAAAATCTTCATATATTATTTATAGAGTCCTCTCAGCTTGTCTAAGCTTGATGACAAGTAAAATCACGGAAGGAAAGAAGAACAACTGACTTAAGCCACAGCCTTAGATGAATTCAGCTAAAGATAAAAGACATTACATCTCTGAAGATCTCTGAAGAAATAAACAGTGCTTACACTATCAGAAAAATGAATATATATATATATATATATATATATATATATACTATATATATATATATATACAGTATATATACAATGTAATCAATATTCTGTTTATTAAAACCAAATGTGAATCTCATCAAGAAAAATTATAGCTCAAGGCATTAACAATTTAAACAATATATTGTTTTTGTGAACTGATTTTCAGCTTTTCTATTTAATAGTTAACAATTTTTAAATTTTTCAGATCATTAGTCAGCAAAGCTCGGTAAATATTGGTCACAGACATGGAGATTTACCTTAAATTTCTGATTAAAAGCTGATTATTCACTAAAAACTCCCACAGAGCATGTTTCCAGGCCATTTTAAGTCTTACTAAATGGAGTCTTAACTAAAACCTGGTCTAAAGTAAATGGAGCAGTAGTTTTTTTGTTATTTAAAGAGCGCGTTAGTATAGGTGGGTCCACAGCGCGCGTACACTCTGCTTATTACACACACAGGGCCGCAGCACACAAACATGCCAAATATTAAAAATTAAAGGATTGCAATGTAAAAGATTATTATTGTGTAGGTTACATAAATATAAAAATGCCTACATGTCATAATGGATAGTCATTGCATGTATCAGAATTAGGCTACCTATTTGCTCGCGCACGAACAGCTCCGTTTCATCTCTGGAGACGCATTCTGTCTTTGCGCTTGCAAATTCCGCCATGTAAATAGCAAATATGCCATGGCGCGAGCGCAACTGGCTCTTAAAGGGAATGGGAGATGAGTCTCTGATTGGTTTATTGCATGTTATGCCCAAAACACACCGAGAAACAGGGTCAACACCTTTCAACCAGACACAGTATGGGAGAAATTGCAATGCTTAATGGGGAGAGTTGCTGAAAGGACACTCTTCATTTCAGCTAAAAGAGCCACATTCCCTTATTGGTAAGGGCATCTGTTACATCTGTAAAGAGGACTCGTACTTGAACTTATTTAACTTTTTATTGTTCTTGTCAACTTTACTGAACTGCATAAACTGAACACTCACATCACTGAACTGCGTGAAAACATTAGTGTCAACGTCATTGCTCATTCCAAACTCTTAAAGTGACCAGCGCTCTTTATATCTTATTAATGTAACAAACACATTACTTTAATTAAACACCAGATTATAAGTCTACCTAAACATGCAACATTACCATCTTACATGTCCCTACACAGTGGTGTTTATCACTTCCTCATAACACATGCTTGCTATATTGAAGCATATGCTATATTCTTGCTTGAAATTAAACCTTTGGCATTAGTCAAGCCAAACCTGGTCATGCCTCATGTTTAACAGTCCTGTATTTGATGCAGGAGTGAATTACTAAGCATTTAAGCAGTAGTGATTATGGACTTGTATTTATACAGCAGCAGCAGCAGCAAGGGGTCTGTGTACAGTGGCTGCTGTGAGGATACAGCAACTAAGCATTGCAGATATGAGAACGCATTAAATTGAAATACATTTACCTAGAGAAATGCATTGACTCTGCATTTAAACCCTAATCAAATCCGGATGCTTCCCCAGATAGCAACATAGTGTCAACCTGGTTCCGGCCCACATCTGGCACATGTAGCTTGATGATCTGGCCCACATGTAGCTTGGAATGCTGGCACTTGTGTGCACTGCTCCTGTTTGCCAGATCTGGGCCAAAAGCAGGCCATAGCAATGCCACATGTCAGCCAAGAGCAAAGAACTAAACCACATTGGACATATTCAGAGTCACAAAATCTTCATATATTATTTATAGAGTCCTCTCAGCTTGTCTAAGCTTGATGACAAGTAAAATCACGGAAGGAAAGAAGAACAACTGACTTAAGCCACAGCCTTAGATGAATTCAGCTAAAGATAAAAGACATTACATCTCTGAAGATCTCTGAAGAAATAAACAGTGCTTACACTATATGTTTCCAGGCCATTTTAAGTCTTACTAAATGGAGTCTTAACTAAAACCTGGTCTAAAGTAAATGGAGCAGTAGTTTTTTTGTTATTTAAAGAGCGCGTTAGTATAGGTGGGTCCACAGCGCGCGTACACTCTGCTTATTACACACACAGGGCCGCAGCACACAAACATGCCAAATATTAAAAATTAAAGGATTGCAATGTAAAAGATTATTATTGTGTAGGTTACATAAATATAAAAATGCCTACATGTCATAATGGATAGTCATTGCATGTATCAGAATTAGGCTACCTATTTGCTCGCGCACGAACAGCTCCGTTTCATCTCTGGAGACGCATTCTGTCTTTGCGCTTGCAAATTCCGCCATGTAAATAGCAAATATGCCATGGCGCGAGCGCAACTGGCTCTTAAAGGGAATGGGAGATGAGTCTCTGATTGGTTTATTGCATGTTATGCCCAAAACACACCCATTACTCATTAAGAGAATAGGGACAACCCTTTTAGACCATGCACCAGGCGCCGACCGTTTTCCCATCGTTTAACTAGCAAAAGTGGATTTGGACACGTCCTGAGGGCACCTGTGCCGTGCGCTATAGACCATGCACTTAGATCGTTAAAATAGGGCCCATTTGGTAAAAAAAAAAAGATAAAATCCTTACAGGAAATGAAACATAAGGCATTGTGTGGAAGGAATTTAAAAATACACTATACAGAGGAACTGGACCTGTGAGCTATTGTTATACATACATTTGTATATGAATTTGAATTTGTGGACTTCACACATTTCCTTATCAGGATGATAAACAAATAACATCTCTGTGAACATCTAAACACACGCATTGCTATTTTAGTTAATCTGTCACTTGATCAGTGTCTGTGAGGATCATTGTGTGTCAGCTCACATCAGGTAAGATCTTCTTTCTACTAGTGATCCTCATCAGTCTCTGTAAATTAAACAAACTACAGCATATGTTGATGCTTTGTGTGTATTTTTATGTATGCCATATGTCTATAAACAAATACATGTATTTATATGTATATAAGCAAAAAAGTACTGTATTTTAAAGGTAATTTTGTAATATCCAAATAACTTTTACACATCGTTATTGGAAAGGATTTAAACAATGTTTTTCATGGTTTTCAATGAACCATAAACATTTTTTGCACATGGAACAGTCATTAAGACACCTAAGACAGGGCTTCAGGGAGACAGGAAGGACAGTTAATCATCCTTGTAATGCTAGACCACTTGTGACCATATGTACCCCCAGACAAATTCAAGAACATGCAAGTGACTTGGTGAAAGAGTAGAGTAACATCTCACAGCAAATTTGCAGCAGTCCACGAGGATGTACTATATTACTTAAAGCAGCTCCTGACACACAAGATACTCACTGCAACTTTTGTAATTGGACTCTCTTTTTCATTTCTGCTAATCAAATGTCTCTGAAACTTGTTCAGTTTATGTCTCAGTTGTTAAACTTTATATGTTAATACAAACATTTACACATAAAAAAAACATGCCGGAAACAAAGGCATTTGAATGTGAGGAGTTCTATCTTTTCATTCTTTTTAAAATAGAAATTTTTAAATTTCTCCTCGCTTATAACCCTTGTAACATGTAAATGAATAAATTCAGTGGAATTTTCCATGTGTGTTTGACACAAAGAGGAAACCAAAAGAAGTTATGCATCAGTGCCAAACTCATTTGCTTTTTCCTTCTAAACAGTAAAGGAAGCTCATTCTCTGAACTGACTTTTGGATACAGAGAAATACACCGGACTGTCAACACTGACAATGGTTTCCTCTCTTCATAAAAGTGAGTATTTGTTTTGTTTTTTTGTCATGATTAGTAAAGACTAGTTCACACTGCCCCAACAAACTCCAGCCTTCAACTCAACCTTTATAAGACGAACTGAAGTCAGATGATGAATGCAGTTAACTCAAAACTGATTTTTTAAATTGAAGTTGTTAATTGTCATAAGATTATGATTTTCATTGATTTAATTGTTTTTCTTCATATTTCAGGTTTTATAAGAGCACTGACTATCATCTCTGTTATTCTATGTAAGTAGCCTAGTGTGAAGCCATCAAGCTACAAAATCATAAAAGTATCCTAAGAGTAATCCATATGACATATAGGCTATACAGCTGTCTTCCAAGTCATGTGTCCTTTATGTAAGAAACAGACTGAAATTATATGTTCTCATTATCTTCTCCAATGCTCTGGGATGGGCTAAAAAGTCATATAGATTACAAAAATTGTACATATGAGCCACAATGTACAGGGTACAGGGATTTAATGATTTAAATGTAATGTTGGAATTCATGTTTTGAACCACCGAGCAGGTTTATACACCCATTCATGCTATATAGCATTTTTATTGGAAGCACTCAAATATATTCATATTGTTTTGGTCTACATTTATCAAGCTAGTCTACTGCATGGGGTTCAGGCATGAAGTACTGGAAATGGCTTTTTAATTTTGTCTAAATTACTTGGTGCCCAAGCAGTAGATTTGCTAGGGCATTATTGGATGTAGCATTTTCAGTGCAGTTTTCACGTGTCAGGCTTGGTCAGGTGAAGTTGTTGTTATCACACATACTTTTCTGGTAAATATATTTAAGTGTACCATTTGTACGCAGTATTATTTGAGTATTGTACACATTATAATTAATTAATTAATTAATTAAATTATTTATTTATTTATTTTTGTGGATTCATTGGTATTCATCTGTCATTATTTTTACTAACATCAGCAGCACCAATACAACAGTCACACCAGAGATGACCTCCGCTGGTAATGTAGTCTGATGTTTCCTCTGTTTATTAATTGATATTCATCAGTTGTTATTTTTTATTAAGAAGTGGGTGAAATTCCTCTCAATTTAAGAAGACAACAGTTAACTGCAGTATATTTGGCAAATCTAATGTCACAGGATAATTCACATCCCACAATACGAGTTCTAGAGAAATGTTGGGAGCATGGAAAACAGGAATGTAATAGTTTTGGATGGATTGTTGTAGATTTGGTAGAAGGATTAGATGTTAAAGGTTTAAGTATTGTTTGAAGAGTTACTTTATCAGCAGTTCCTTTGTGGATTTTGCCTCAACCTATAGTCTAGACAGAAAGAAGGTATGAGTGAATTTAAGGAAATCTGCGTAAGGGAATATTTGTGGACAGAGTATGGACATTTAACACAAGTCTGTTCAGATGCATCAAAAAATCCACACAATGAACAAATAGGTATAGTTATTTGTCATTACAAAATTGCAAATTTGCAGAAAGATGAGGATTTCAAATAAGTTTTTTTTTTTTTTTTCAGGAGAGTTAATTACTGTAGTGATGGCTTTAAGATGTATAAGCAAAGCAGGTTTAAAGAAGGTTTTAATATGTTCATTTGGGAGTGAAAGAGAAAGAAGCAGCAGATAAATTGGTGAAACAAGTTGTCCTGGACACCAGTATAGAAATGGAAGTATCATAGAGTAGATATGAAATGAAAGCAATAATTAAAAAGCAAATAGTTCAAAGTTGGTAACAACAGTGGGAAATAGGAAATAGTAATGCATGAGAATTGGTGCGATCCACCAATAAATGAAAGAAGAAGACCCCTTGGCGTAATTTTTTAATGCGCAGGAACCCCCTTTAGCGTAATTTTTCGACATGCAGGGTACTCTATGGAAGGATATTTTGTATTGGGAGTTGACTTCACTCACAGATTATTCCTGTCTTATAATAAAGCATTGTGCCGTAAATTGAGAGGAATTTCACCCACTTCTTAATAAAAAACAAGAATGTTGATCCAGGAACATATTGTACTTGATGAAATCATGCTCACTGCTAAGTAATCGTTCCAAGAAAAATACAGCCTCGGAACCCAGTGGGGGCCAAAAGCATACAGAGAAGGCAAACGCCTGACTTAGCACTGGTTTTGCCAGAGTAAGTCCATTTAAGCAGAAAGGCCCCGAGCCTGTAAAGCCGGGAGATCCAGATGATAAAACCTGGTAAATGTGGACGGCGAGGCCCAGCTGGCCGCTGCACAAATTTCTGCAATGGAAACTCTGCTAGACCAAGCCCAGGAAGTGGCAATGCCTCTTTTTGAGTGGGCTCTTACTCCCATGGGGCATTGAAGGCCCAAGGAAGAGTACGCTAGCTTGATAGTGTCAATTATCCATTTGGAAAGTCTCTGCTTCATAACCAGAGACCCTCTGGTGCGGTCATCGAAGCATACAAAATGCTGATCCGACAGCCTGAACAGGGCGGAATGCTCAATGTATATTCTCAATGCCCTGACGGGGCAGAGTAGATTTAGCTCTTGGTCCTGCTCTTAAGGAGGAAAGCGCCGAAAGAGCTATCACCTGTGCTCTGAACAGAGTCGAAAGCACTTTAGGTACATTACCATGCCTCGGCTTCAGGACGACCTTGGAGTCATTGGGCCCAAATTCAAGGCAGGTCGGGCTCACCCAGAGACGCCTGCAGATCACCCATACACTTTACCGATGCTAACACCAGTAGCAGAGCGGTTTTTAGCGTCAAGGGACGAAGGTAGCGGCTCGAAAGGAAGGCTCTTCAGAGCCCTCAACACCGTGGCCAGGTCCCATGTAGGGACAGTGACAGGGCGAGGCGGGTTGAGCCTCCTAGACCCTTTCAAAAAGGGAACAACTAGGTTGTTCCTGCCCACCGACTGGCCACTGGAGCGTGTGAGGCTGTTATGGCTGCTTCCCTCCTGCAGGAAGGACAATATCAGAGATATGTCGCAGGAAATTGGGTCTGCGCCGCGGGCCATACACCCGGCGCAGAAGACAGACCATTTAAGGGCATAGAGCCGCCTTGTAGAAGGTGCTCTAGCCTGAGATATTGTGTTTAGCACACTCTCGGGGAGGTTCGCAGGCTCCCATCGAGAGGCCAGAGGTGCAGAGCCCACAGCTTGGGCTGGGGGTGCCATATCATTCTGTTTGTCTCCGAGAGAAGGTCTCGTCTCAGGGGGATGGGCCATGGGGCTGCTAGAAGCAGCTGAGACAGCTCTGCGAACCAGTGTTGGGTTCTCCAGAGTGGGGCCACCAACAGAACCTTGTGTTTCCGCTACTTGATTTGCCTGATTACCTGTGTGATCAGGGCGATCGGGGGAAAAGCGTAAAGGAGGGCCAGGGTGAGCCAGTCGTCGAGATAATTCGGATGCGGATTCCCATCTGTCTCAGCGGGGAAAGAGCCCGCTTTTACTTCGTAAAAGTGCGGGGAGCTAGTGACAGTCCGAAGGGAAGGACCGTGTACTGATATGCCACTCCCTCGAAGGCGAATCTCAAGAATCGCCTGTGATGGGGGCTATCTGGATCTGAAAGTAGGCATCTTTCAGATCCAACGAAAAGAACCAGTCCCCTGGGCACACTTGCGAGAGGATCTGCTTCAATGTAATCATCCTGAATGGCCGTCTCATGAGGGCACGGTTCAGGTGTCTGAGCTCGAGGATGGGCCTTAGGCTGCCATCCTTTTTGGGGATGAGGAAATAACGGCTGTAGAAGCCTGACTCGCTCTGAGCTGGGAGAACCATTTCTATGGCTCCTTTTGCCAGAAAATTCATCACCTTGGCACGAGGTGGAGACCACGCCACAGAATCGCGGGGGTCTTCGTGCGAATTGAAGTGAATAACCTCGTTCTATTATCCCCAGAACACACTTTGACACCCTGGCGATGGCCCGCAAGGCCTTGGCCTGCGTGGCATGGGGTTGGGTTGTTTCGAGCGACAGGCCGCCATGCGTGGACCCAACACTTGTGATAAGCGGAAGAGGAAATTTGCTCTCTTTTTGAAAATTTTTGCATTTTATTTTTCTCGCTATAACAGCAATAAGATGTGCGGGCGCTAACTGAATGGGCCTGGGGTTCACAACAGTTTTCACCACAAACACATTGCCATCGGCACCCAGAAGTGAACGGGGTGCTTGGAGGCACAAAAGAGGCTGCTTGGGGGATGGTCCGGCGATTTTGTCCCCTCCTCTTCCTGTCCCGTGGATCAGGTTGACGCCGGAGATGCCGGTCCAGCACTACCTTGGGCCGGGGTTCTTGGCGCTTAGGGAATGGGTAGCGTGTAGCCGAGCGGGAGCGATGCCGGGCTCAGGCTTAGAGAGTGGCGGTGCAGCTGATGAGGCGGGCTTCGCGGACTGCTGAGTCGGCGCCGTCTTGGGGCAACTGGTGGCAGCCGCAGAGCTGGAGCGTTTTGGCAAGAAGTGTTGCATTGCCTGGGATGACTTTTGTGCAGCAGTGAAGCGCTCTGCGAACCCTTCGACCGCAGGACCAAACAGGCCAGCGGGGGAGAACGGAGAGTAGAGGAAGGGGACCTTATCCGCATCCTTGATGTCTGTGAGGGTCAACCATAGGTGGCGCTCAAGCACCACAAGGCTGGCCATGGATCTACCGATCGCCTGAGCCGTCATCTTTGTGGCTCGTAAAGCCAGATCGGTCGCGCTGCATAGCTCTTTGAAAGCCGCGGGGTCCGGTCCAGACTCGCCCATTCTCTGGAGAAGTTTGGCCTGAAGGACCTGGAGGACCGCCATGGAGTGAAGCGCCGAGGCTGCTTGCCAGCAGACGAGTAGGCCCTTTCAGCAAGCGCTGAAGTCGTCCTGCCCGGCTTGGATGGGTGGGCGGCCTTTGCCTTCCAGCCGATGGCCGTGGATGGGCAGAGATGCGTGGCCACTGACTCATCCAGGGGAGGCAGTGTGTCAAACCCCTTTTCTTCGGCACCGTCGACTGTTGTGAGGGCAGATGAAGAGGAGGTACGCAGGCGGGCCGAGTAGGGGGCGCGCCAAGATCTAGTGATCTCGTCATGGACTTCTGGAAAAAATGGAGAAGCTCGTTGTCGAGGGGCTTGACGGCGACCCGGCAAGAACCATTCATCCAGGCGGCTGCGGGTGGGCTCCTCTGGCGGAGACCAATCCAAACCCAGCTCTTGGACAACCTTAGACAGAACACGGAAAAGTTCGGCATTCATGCCTGTGCTGGCAGCGCTGGGCTCTGCAGACGGCAGGGGGGCGGGGTTGAAAGATGAGCCCGACAGCTCTTCCGCATCTGAGG